TTCCCCCAAAAGTTCCTTTCTGAAGCTGCAAAATTCAGCTATCTCCTTAGTACCTCTTGCTAAAAACTGCACTGAGCCTTGCCTTTTGCCCAACCAAGACTCCTGTAGGTATTTTCCTAAGTTCTCACCCTTCCTTCCCCGAAACAAACTCTGGTGTAGCTGTGATAAGAGTAAGTTTCCACCTACCACCTGAAGTTTGCATTATCACTTCTTGGGACTATTGAGAGGATAAATTGAGGAGGAATGTGCAGACGTACTTGGGTTACTATCTGTGAGTCTCTCTCTGTCCCTTACTTCCTATTTTTCTCTTTACACACAGTCTGTCATCTTTAACTGGCCACAGTGTCAGACAACTATGTATCTTCAGATTTTTATAGAATCTGTTTAAAGGAGTTTTATAATCACTGTTCTGAATTTTTAAAACAATTCAGGAAATTTTAAAAGTATTTCTCTCTTAAAAATGTCAGTCCACTTCACCTTTAGGTGGCCTGGAATTGATTTCCTCCCTCAGGTCACAGGAACCTTAATAAGTAGAGTCCTTCATTTCTAAAGTTATGATATTAATTAATGAAAGACTAACTAAGATGCACTGAAATAAACTTTAAAATTGTTTATTCCAAAAATAGTCTCATATGCTAGTTTTCATTGAATTCATCAGAGCATATTTATTCTAGCGACTAATAAGCTTTCTGATTTCATCAGCAAGAAAAGGATGTTTAACAAGTTAGGCTATCTCCACATTTGTTATATTTCACACATGAACTCCCCCCCACCCCCAGGACATCTTTTCATGGCCCAAACAGCTATGGAGATCGCTAGGTGGAATAGTGTATGGCAGCTTTTCCAGGGCTGTCCACACACGCTTCACAGCTTTTGCTTGGCTTAGCTTATACTGACAATAAACAGTTAAAAAAAACCAAAAACCTCTGGTTTTCTGGAAGAAGCATGGCCATTTCTAAACAATCAGAAACAACTGGACTGACCTCCCCTTCCAGGTGTGGCCATCATCACCACTTGTGTATATCTGCAATGGTGAATCCCTCCATCAGGCCACACTACCCCCGTCTTAGACCACGGGGAAAGAAAGTGGAAGAAGATGAAGTGGAAAAAATGAGTCGGTTCTGACTCTAGGGTAAAGAATTTAAATTGTCCAACTTCAAAAGTTTCCCATCTGAGGAAGTAAATGCCAAGGTTGCATTGAATTCAGCTAGGTCCTCATGGTCTTAGAGAGCCAAGTGGGCTTCCTAGAATCCCTATTTCCAGAGCCTTAAAACACCCTAAGACACCCCCTGCCCCAAGAGTTCTATAAACCGCTGATGCTCACATGCTTATGTGAACAATCTGGCTCCTCCATTCACATATGTGGTCTCTGTTCCATGTTATGTGAGCCAGGGAGTAGAGCTCAGTCCCTCGCTGGTTTCTACAAGAAATCTATGCAAACTGAGCACATACATCTACTATAAATGTACAGCATAACTAGGAAGTTGAGATTGGGTCATGTGACACATTGGTTTACTGCCTCCACTTCACTGGTTCTATTGTGCTCCCAATCTTCCTCTTTTGTCTTATGGGTCATTCATCAGAGACACCTATGGGTCTCTATCCTTACACATGCAGTGTCCCATATTCAGGAGGCTGCCCGTCTTCATAGCTACCCCAAGCTGGCTGAGCAGGAATGTTCACAATGGCAGTCCTTTGGGTATTACTAAAAAGAATTCTTCATAAGAGCTACTAAATGGAAGGGAAAAAATCTCTTTATTCATCTTGTTTTGAACAACCTTCCCCCAACACTGCCTAATAATCATAGCTCGCATGTATTGCGCTCTCACCAGATACAGATTCCTGTGCTAAGCAGACATTAACATTCATAGCCATTCATATAAACCTGGAGAAGCTAACATATTTGGCCAAGTCAACTAGCTAGAAAGTGATAGAGCCAGGATTTAAACCCAGGGGTTTCAAGAAAGGCCACCAATGCATTTTACCACCTTGTGCTACATGACATACATGGGCCAAAATGGTAACATCTGCTCAGGTGTGACCACAGCACTTGAACACCAGGACAGTCTTGAGATAAACCTTGGAGGACGTTTCTTGTTGACAAGTAATTTCTAAGGCTGGGTCACCGAGAACAGAAAACTTGGCTCCCCCGCCTTCCTTCTCTCATTTCCCATGGCTAGATTATGTGCAGAATCCTGGGCTGTGGAAAGACCTTGATGATCCTTGGCAGCTCAGATACCACCTCTGCCCACACATCACCCTGCTGAATGTCACCCACTCTGCTGCTGATGTGGTCTCACAAATTAGGGAATCCAAGTGAAAGGATGACTGATTTAGGATTAAAAAGGCCCTGCAACCTTCCCCAGCCCTCTGGGCATTATGGGAAAGTGACCCAGAAAATCAAATGCCGAGAAGTGTCCCAAAATATAGGAGTCTTGTTTGAAGCATAGTAGAACCTATTAGCTTGAGAAATTGGTCTGGAAATCTTATTAAAAGAGACAAATCATTCCACATTTTCTCCAGACTGAAAATATTGGGGGTAATAGGCTTCCCCTGATACCTCAGATTCATGTACCTCATGTCAGGATCACAGCCAAACTCTGGCAAGGCTACATTCAACACAGGTGATGAAGGCAATTATTTTTTTAATGGGCAGTTCTGATTAATTCTGATTTCTCTGGCCGACCACTGACTTATCTGTACCTGTCCCTCATTACTGTGAAGGTTTTAAGGTGGAAGAGCCAATGGCAAAGAGAAATGAAGTTCAAATTGTGAATTTGTCATTGTTGCACAGCTCAGCAGATGATTGTCCAGCCACAGAGGCCCCTGTGGCCAGCTTTCCCACCACAACACACACACTGTCACAGCTCCTTTCTCAATATGTCCAATTAACCCTCCAATGATGATGCTGGGCAAGCAAGGCACCACTGTATTATGAAACTTAACCTTGCACACCTTTGCTATTTAAGAGGGGGCATAAGAAGAATCCTTTGAATGTATATATGTTCACTATTCTCATCATTACTATTTTTGTTGAGTACTGATGGGTTCAATAATAGTATGAATCACTGGAATTTAGTAAGTGATTATTCCATGCCTGGCACTGTGGTAAGGACTTTATTTACATGATTATCTCCTTTATCCTCAGAAGAACCCTATAAAGCAGGGGTTAGCAAACTTTTTCTGTAAACCATCAAATAGGAAGTATGTTTAGGCTTTGCAAGCTATATGTTCCATGTCACAACTACTCAACTCTTTAGTGGTAGCATGAAATAATCATAGACCATAGATAAATGAATAAGTGTAGCTGTGTTTCAGCAAAACTTTATTTGCAAAAACATGTGACTGACTGGACTTGGTTCACAGGCTATAAACTATTGCTATAAGGTGAATGATGTTCTTCCTAAGCTAAATGTTGATTTTCCACAGCTGGAAAGGTAGGAGACATGATTTTCCCTCTCCTACATCCTTCCTCCTTTCTGCTCTTCTCTTCTAATTCTAGTTCTGGAGGAAAGAGAATGAAAGACATTTCCACATGTGACTTCCCAGGGGATGATGGCTGTTCTTCATTAACAAAAGGGAGAGCAGTCTCACCCACTTCCATGAAAACCCAGCATCTGTGGGGGTGGGTTACTTCTGTCAATCTGGGCTCTTGTCTGCAAGCTTGGGGTCAGCTGTAGCAAAGTCCCCTAATGAGAGAATCAATCCCAATCCCAAGCTGCTCTCCAAGCATTAGTGGGTCTTTGTGAGTCTCGGCTAGAACTTCAAGGTAACCCACAGATAGAGGGTCCAACACATGGCCTCTTTGTCCATGCTGGGGTGGTCCCCAGCCAACCTGCAGCCTATTCTTAGCTCTCTTCTGTGCCCCAACACTGTGAATCCATCTCGATGCCCCTTGGAAACTAGGACTTTGAAGGAGTATGCATCGTTTCTCTCTGCAACCACACACATCACCACCTACCTCAATTTTCTCTCCTCAGCTGAAGTCGTCTAGCAGCTCAACAGATAATAGGGAATGAAGTGTCTGTTTCTCCTTCTTGATGACACCCATAAGCTTAAATAGCAATTTATAATCTTAGACTAGGGTGTTTCTATCCCTATACTACTGAGTTTTGGAGCTAGATAGCTCTCAGGATCGGGGCAGGGGAGCTATCCTGTGTATTGTAGAATGTTTTGCAGCATCTTGGCTTACTCATTAGATGCCCATGGAAACCCCTAGATGTCACAATTTAAAATGTCTTCAGACATTGCCAGATGTTCCCTGGGGAACAAAACTGCCTCTTTCTGAGAAGTCTTTCTTAGATGAAGGGACAATCACTACCTTTTGCTGTCAGCTGTAGGCGCTAATTCTCAATTTCAGATAAAAAGGAAGCATTTTAGTTCAGACAAGAGCTCTCAATACCATGTGGCATTATCTTTTGCTGCAACATAAGCATAATAATTCCCCCTTTACTTTTTAGAAAACTGAGGCCTAGGCCAACAGCTAGGAAGCAGCAGAGCCTAGATTTAGATTCAAAACTGTCTGGTGTCAAACCTCTATATTTTAAAAGCTACTTGTGATCCAACCATGAAGGAATACTGTGAAGGTTTTCCCAGAATGGGGGAAAGTTTGTCATGACTTGTGCGGTGAAAAGAACACTAGATTGTACTTTATCTTCCCTCAGAGTGTTCCATCTAATCCTGACAGCAGAGCTTCAAGGTGGATATTATTCTCCCCATTTTACAGATGAGGAAACAGGTCCAGCAAGCCTATCAAATGGTTTGAAACCAACAGAGCAAAGATTTTTAAGACCAGCATTTCTGTGCTCAGAGCCTTGATATTTCAACACCAAATAAGCATGTGGCTGCTCTGTAAAGGAAAGGCTGAATCTGATTCCCTGCATAGCACTCTACCTTTTATCTAATGTGTCCTGCCAGCAATAAGAAAAGCTCGATGATAAATGAAACCGATCTTTCCCCCTTGCCTCGGCCTCCTTCTGTGACCTCATTCCTTGTCCCAGCTCTGTATGCAGTACTGGCCTGAGAAGACCTCTGGGTGCTATGGACCCATCCAGGTGGAGTTCGTCTCTGCAGACATCGACGAGGACATCATCCACAGAATATTCCGCATCTGTAACATGGCTCGGGTAAGTACATGGCCGCCACTGCTGACCATGCCGCTTCTCCCCAGAGCTGATGGAGATTGCCAGGAGAGGATTCTGCTAAGTCAGCCAAGAGTCTATATCATACTCTCCTGCGAATCCCTTCCTTAAGGAAGTGGTGCCTTTGCTGATTTCGGCTCCAGATCCAGCAAAGACTCCAACACCCAGAGATGCAAAGAACGACATCCAACCTGCCATCTGCCTGTTTCCTGACACACTTGCTGCTGTGTAGACAAAACTTCTCAGTCGCTTCCATAAGGATATTCACTGGCTGAGTGGAAAAGTATTAGGTGGCAAGGGGCAGAAAAATAATCTATGAAATACAACTTTGGTCTCTACTAGGATCCCAGAGTGAACAGAACTCAGCCCCTCCCTTTCAGAGTTAGCTATCTACTGGGAAGATGAGATATACAGAGACAAGGAAGGCTTTCCTAAGGAAGGGGACATTTAAATTGGGTTTTGAAGACTGACTCGACATTTTCCAGGGAAAAGAGGAGTAAGGACAGTCACAGCAGGAGAATCAGTGTGCACAAAGGTATAGAGATAGGTGTGGGGATAGCCTGCGACTCTCCTCATGAGGACGTGGCTTAGATTCCCTTTAGCCTGTAGTCTACTACAGTTCTGCAGCCCCTGGGTATCTGGAAGACTTGCATCCCCAAGTATCCCCAGTAGAATACCCCTAACAACCTCTCTGTTCTCAGCCACAGGATGGTTATCGCATAGTCCAGCACCTTCAGTACATTGGCTGGCCTGCCTACCGGGATACACCCCCCTCCAAGCGCTCTCTACTTAAAGTGGTCCGACGGCTGGAGAAGTGGCAGGAGCAGTACGACGGGAGGGAGGGTCGCACTGTGGTCCACTGCCTGTGAGTAATGGGGAAGTGTTGCCAGGGCAACAAGCCAACAGATGATATAGCATCCTTGCAGATGGCCACATACACCAGTCCTAGGCATGTCTGGCTTTCTTTACCACATCTCAATATCTCTTAAAGGCCAATGAGAGTGCATTCCAAGGAATTATTATTATTCATTGTAATGTGGCTGCCAATGTGTTGTCCTGAACTATTGTGACATGACATATAATATATGTAAAACCTAGTGACCTTTCTACAGACAAAGGAGGGGGTGGCAGACTGTTCCTCAATGCTCCCAATAAGGAAATGAGCTCCATCCCCAACAGGAGGCATAATGTGTCCTGCTGGTTACAAGAAAGCCCAGGACAAAGTGGGTTCCACTGATCAGAACCTCCTTTATTATTTCCTGAAGAAGAAACAGGAGGAAGGTATTGATTAAGTGAGCTTAATTAAAGCCAGACATTTTAAATGAATTGCCTCATTCCATTTGTGAGGTAGATATTATCACTTTGTAGTGAGAAAACCGAGGCACAGGCAGAATAAGGTAATCAAGAGAGGGGCTAAGATTTGCATTCACTGGACTCTAAACTAACCCACACAGCCTTAGAGTAAAACAGGGGACTTGCCCATCATGTCTGCCTCCTGGGGCATCTCTACTATGAGCTTAGAGGGAACACAAAGACACAGAGAGAAAGAGGGGAGGGCACTGCCCTGAGGGGCTGAAGATGCATTCAAAGGACCCTAGGGACACTATTTCCCAGGGGTATAGTGGGCACAAGAGCAGCTGTGTTTGTCCCTCAGCTACTGGGGTAAATTGGAGCTTTTACCTCCTGTTTTCAAATGTGCATAGTTTATTCAAATGAACTTCGATGTCGTTATGCTAAGGGGCCCTTAGAGGACTGCAGCTGGCATACTGTGCAGCATCAAGAAAATCACTTAATGTTGTGAGCCTCGATTTCCTCATCTGTCCAGGGATTATGTTGAATTAGATAATCTTCAGACTCAGTAGTGCTTTGACTGAAATAGTTGGAAAATAAACACAATTTATCTGCCAACATAGAGATCAAGAATGTCATGGTAGCAAATCTGCAAATGTTGTATGTTACTTAGAAGAGCAAGTGTCATAAAGTCTGTCACAGGAGTTTAAAGTGACCACAGAGAGGGATTCTACAAAAATCTCAGACCCAAAACAAATCTGCAACCATAACAGCTGTGTGTGGAGTATTTGACTCACAATCATTTACTTTCTTAGAACTTAAATGATTTGGGGAGAAGTGATTGAGAAAAGCTCTTCCTTTCAAAATGTTGTGTTAGGCGGGTGTGGTGGCTCCTGCTTGTGATCCCAGCGCTTTGGGAGGCCAAGGCAGGAGGATCCCTTGAGCCCAGAAGTTCAAAATTACATTGAGCTATGATTGCACCTCTGTACTGCAACCTGAGTGACAAAGCAAGACCCTGACTCTAAAATAAATAAATAAACAAAAATACTGTGTCAAAGGAAATTTGAACCAAGGTCTTCTTTTTATCAGAACAAATATTTCTGAAGCTAATGGAGGTAGGTACTGCATACCTTAAACCAAAGTAGAGACAGCATCTCAGGCCCACTCAAGCCCCAACCTCCAACATCTGACTGACCTCAGAATTGAGCTCAGTCTTTTAAAAACAGCTAATTATACTTCCTCTTCAAATAGATGGCACATGCACATTTTAGGAATGTCAGAGAACTTAAAAGAAGTTACACACACACACATACACAGACCTTAAGGGCCTGTAGCAAAACTCCGGTCCCAGAGGATGCAAATCCCAGGTTGGAATCCATGAAGATGCTGTGTGGTGTCTCAAGCCAGGTTGATGGACATCAGCAGCCCAGCCAAGCTGGTTCTGCCCAGGTCTCAGAAACTGACAACTGTTTCCTGCCAGCTAATCCCTTCTGCCTCCAGTTCCCTCCCACATACTCAGTTGACTTCACCAATAGCACAGAGCCACCTCCATCTTTTCAGGATCTCACTCTACCAGACCCTGAGATGCCCATGTCCATTCATCTCTTCCTCTTGGACTCTGCTATTGTTGTTTCAGAAACAACTGCACCCTCCTTCCAGAGTCCCTACTTTCTCTCATGTTTTTCTTCCAGCCTGCAATTTTTTGCAGGAGTTTCTTTTTATCCATGACCCCTAAGGTGAAGTGACTAGCAGTTTGAACCAAAGGAAAACACAGGAATATTCTTCTACCAACAGGGACCTTGGCCTCCTTGAGGGCTGCAGACACCATAATAGACAATGAAACACAGGTACCAACGGGTGAATGGAAGGCAACTCTCTGTACTTGAAACATCTGGTTGTTGGGTTTCCTGTAGATAAACATCTGGGAAATTGACTGAGTGCCTTAGTTTCCATCCAGATGTTCCTTAGACACAGACCATTACATGAAATCATTAGTTGCTCTTGGCAACACGCCCAGGCATTCCAAATCAGGCAGATTCCTAAAGGGACTTTCTACAAAGAGTTTGAGGGGTATTTCCATGAAGATGACTTACGGAGTTTCAGAAAGAAGGAGTAACAGAGGGATGGCCCTGCCATGAGCTGTCTCTATCCCCAAACTCAAGATCAGTAGGGTCTTGCTTAAATCAAGGTGCGCAGTAGAGACAGCCTCTCAGGCGCACCCCAGTCCCCACCTCCAAGCCTGGGCTGGCTGACTCTAGGCTAACAGATTATTGCTTAGTGAAGGGTGGAAAGATCTAATAAGAAAATCATCTGGAAGTTTCCATTGTCTTCACTGGATTCTTTTGGACAAGGATGCAGGTACCACATTTACAAAGACACAACATCATCCTGTCCTGAGGGGCTGGGTCACTGGGCCTTGGGTGACTGTAACCTGATCATAGAACCAAGGAAACATCAAGCTAATTAAACTCTCAAAGGCCATCTGGTCCAATCTCTTTGTTATATAAATGGAGAACTTGGGGTCCAGACAGGGGAAGTAATTTGCCCAAGGTCAAAGCAAGTTCATGGCGCCATAACTCATGGCTCAGGCCAAAGCTTTCACCATTGTCTTCCTTGCATGTGCCAGGGCAGCCACTCCTTACTACCACTGATATGGTATCAGTAGATCAGAAGGTGCCTGAGGAGTACCTAGGAATGTGGCTCACCTCTTCACTCTGTGTTTAGAAATGGAGGAGGCCGCAGCGGAACCTTCTGCGCCATCTGCAGTGTGTGTGAGATGATCCAACAGCAAAACATCATTGATGTGTTCCACATCGTGAAAACATTGCGGAACAACAAATCCAACATGGTGGAGACCCTGGTGAGTGTCCCAAGAACTGTTCTTCATCAGTCAGGAGTTGACTGGTAGTTTCCTTGACCAAAAATGACATCAAATAGTAAAAGCACTCCACAGCTGGGCTTTTATTGAGTATCTACACTCTAGACCCTTAGTGTACACTGTTGCCTGACCTGTTTCTACCCTTTCCAACCTCACCAACTTCTCTTTCCTGAAGGGAAATCCAATTATTAATTTTTGTGCACCTACTTTGTTTTACTTTCTTCCCATTCCTTAAGAAAGTGTCATTAATTCAGGCTTAAAGGCAAGGATTCTAGATTAGTAGAATGTGAAGTATGTTTTCAATTCAGTCCAATGCTATTCTAAATCTTTTATGCTAATTTTTCACAGTAGAGAGCACTAAATGAGGACACTGTGGAGGAAAGAATGGTACAGAGAGTGCATAGAGCCCCAGATGCTAAGACCACAGTGGTGGCCCACTGCACCACACATGAGAGATTTTGATACAAGACTCTTTAACCTACTCAAACTATGATCTTACCCAAAGTGAGGTCCTATTCAAAGCGTGACCAGCAGCAAAGCATTACCTGGGAGATTGCTAGAAATGCAGAATCTTGAGCCCTCTCCAGATTGACTGAATTAGAATGTGCATTTTTAAAAGATTCCTGGGTGTCTCGTATGTATGTTACAGTTTGAGAAGCACTGTTGTGCAAAACAGTAAAAAGGAAAGGGAATGATGCCAGCTGGGCATTCAGGAAGCTTGGGTAGATGGAGGCATCAAGCAGAACTTTGAAGAATGTCCAGCTAGGGATAATTTTGAGTCGACATAGTTTGGATGTAGCTGAAGCTTGCTCCAAAATCTGTATCTCTAAACTAAATGCATTTCTCCTTCCTTTTTGTCTCTCTCATCTTCTCTTCTCCCTCTTTGCCTCTCCCTGTCTCTTCCTCTCAGGAACAGTATAAATTTGTATACGAGGTGGCACTGGAATATTTAAGCTCCTTTTAGTTCAATCAATGGGATGAGGAACCGGCTGGAGCCCAAAGGCTGCTGCAGCCCAGCCCCCTTTTCTGTGAATGGCAGTGACTGGGCTCACAGGCTCCCAGGTGGCATCCTGCCTGACTTCAAGAAGAAGATTGGTGGTCCCATGTTCCGCAGGGGGCTCTACCCCTTCTGAGGGGTCTCCTGTAGCCATGGGAGTTGCTGCTCCAAATGGCTCAGTCTTCCCTTCCAACCTAACCAACCACAGCACCAGGCCCAGGCAGAAGTGCATCCACAAGCAAGGCCTCGGATTATTGGTCCCCAGATCTCTTGCTTTCATTCTTCCTGAGTTTATGGATCTCATGGCAAGCTAACTGTGCAGGTGCTGGGGAGTGGGAAGCTCAGCAGCACCTCTTCTGCCCTCCTTCTCCTAGGGAGTGGAGGAGATGTGTGTTCTGCTCCTCCACATCATGGAAAAGATTGGGGCTCTTGAGGTCACTGCTTTGCCCCTGCAACCTCCTTTGGGGGCCTCAGGCACCAGATACCTACAGTCTGGACCGGTGTGACCCCAGGATGCTCCCTAGGGCACAGCAGAGGCCCCCCATCCTCACACCTAACCTGCATGGGGCTTGGCCCACAACCATTCTGTACCCCTCTCCTAGCCCGGGGCTTGACCGTCCGGCATACATTGGCCGGCCTGCTGTGTCCACAGCACTCTTTGATAAAGGTGTTCTTTGCTTTTTTGTGTGTGGTCAGTGGGAGGGGGTGGAACTACAGGGAACCTCACTGTTCATCCTTGTCTTTATAAAAAGGGACCGCTTCCCTGGGACAAGGCTCTGGCTGACCTGTAGGATGTAACTCCTGTGTCTCCTTGGTGGTAGCTTCCTTTGGAAAAGATGAAAATGATGAGACTTGATTATTTTCCAAAGTGTATGTGAAAAGAAACTTTATTTTGGGGAGTGTAAAATTTTCGTCTCTTATGTCAAAAAAAAAAAAAAAAAAAAAAGGATGGGGGGAGTTTGAGTGTATAGCTCTAACACAAATCTCTCAGACACGTTATCTTCCCTGGCAATGTCCTTAAAGGTCCCACCCTGGGACTGCGCCACCATTGAGCAAGGTCTAGATGGCCTAGTCTGAAGGTGGTTCCTTTGGTTTCTCAGGCATATAGATCACCAGTTTTGTGCATAATATAGATCACTAAATTCAAACTCCTTCCTAGAGAAAGAAACCCAGCTGCCACCTTGAAAAAGGCCACTGTGGAGCCAGTTACACTTTGATTTAAAATAGACCAAGGGAATGAGGACTCAGGACCTAGGGTCTTGTCTAAAGTGTGGATGAGTTAACGAGAGAGAACCAACATTTGCTAAGTCTCGACTTAGGGATCATGACTAGTTGCATATGACACCTCTCCTAGTCCTTAGAACCCCCAGGGGAGAACCACTGACTTGTTATAATTTCCATTTTACAACTGAGACACCTCCCTCAGTATGAAATCATGGGATCCAGAAAGGCAAGTAATGGTGATGAGAGTTCTCTATACTGTTTTCTTCATTTTTTCTCAGCCAAACAATTATTTTATGGAGGGAAAATAAGGCCAGAAACTTCCGAGCAAAGAACTCCACAAATGGAAATTGAGTTCTTTCTTCCTGTTGCCAGTTCTTCTGGGAAGCCCGAATTTCAGATTTATAGTAATTCATTCCCAGCTCCCCAGGAAAGCCAGTCTCATCTAATTTCTTAATCAGTGAAAACAATTCCCCATTCCTTGAGGCTATGAAGGGACCAGCCAGGGACATTTTTGACCTTGGTCTCTAGCTGGTGCTTAGGCACAATATCTGATGGCCTTGGGTGGCCCGGGACTTAGGGACCTCCATCTGGGAGACCAGTGTCCAGACAGATCATGAGGGGCACAGAATTCAAGAAGGCACAGATATTGCCCTCAAGAGCTCACTGTATCCTAGGGTGATTGAAGCATAGTGCAGTAGTGGTGGAGCAGATTGAGTGTTCTATGAGCCTAAGAGCAGGAAAGACTCACTCAGCCCACGGCTTCCTAGAGGAGGTAACAGCCATTCCAGCTGGGTCTTGAGGGGTAGAAAAAGGAATAAAAGGAAATTCAGGCCAAGGGATCAGTATGTGCAATGGCAAAGAGATGTGAAATGGCATTGGGAGGGACGTATGGGGGCAGGCCAACCCAGTGGGGACACAGCACAACAAGGGGAGTGAGCCAGGGTCCAGAAGACAGATGATCACTAAGGGTGCAGACTCCATAGGCAACAAGGAGTCAGCAGGGCTTCAGAGTGATGTGCTCCACCCAATGTGTTGGAAAAGACTCCCTCTGGGCCAGCGAGGCAGCCTCTTTTCCTTTCATCAGACACTGTGAAAACATTCCCACAAGCGCGTCCTTTTTAATATCACATCTATTTGTATGTCTGCTCGTTGTTTTGTTGCTGGAACAAAATATGCAGTGGATCAGGAGACTCAGCTCCTGTGAGAAGCCCAGGGTCTCTGCTTTACCACAGAGCAGGGTCACCAACCCAGATCTCCAGGCACATGAGGATGGGGCATGAAAGGAGCCCAGGGAAACTGCTTCCATTGGCATGGGCTCTGGAGCTGTCTAGAAGTCCAGGGACACCAGACTTGATCAAGGAAGGGCTGTCACTTTGGAGGTTCAAAAGGAAGTGTCTCAAAGCAAAGGCAGGCAAAGGAACCCCATGATGAGCTCACTCTTCTCCTTTGATGAGCCTCTCCCCAGGTGTATTTGAGCAACCCCCAAACCCCAGTCCCCACTGGGCCTGCTGGCTTCCCCTAGCTCCAGCCCACTGCCCCAGATGGCCTTTGCTAGTCTGCAAGGAGTCTATAGCATGGCAAATCAGCCCTCTGGATGCTATTTTCTCAGATCTTGGTTTATCCAGACAGGATGAGGGTGGAGGGAGAGCTATTTAACACAAATCCCAGGATTTATTCTGCTCAGGAAGGGGTGAAATAGCTGGCAGATCAAAATAACAGTGGCTTCTAGCATTTCAAATGGTAGGAATTTAAAGTGTGGCTTCAGGGAGAGAAAAACTTATAAAAACTCACACCATGGTGGGATAACCCAGCAAGGGACAATGACGATTCCCCCAGCTCATCCCCTTATTTTTTCATAGTCCAATCACCTTGCCAAGAAGGTAGGGTAGTGAACAGGTCTTAGGTTAGTGTACAGAATAAACTGAGGCTCATAGTTGGGGATAATGTCCCTAAGATCCCCTGTAGCAAGGATGTGGCACGGCTTGGATGGATGGGGCACTGGTGCCCAGGACTCTGATCTTGGCCCTTTGCCCAACAAATACCACTTCTCCCAGGGTATCTTCCTACCTCACCCTGGTACAGGGTGGGCTCAGCCTGTCATGGGCAGAGGAAAAATAGTATTAATGCTCTATGAGTTTCCATGGTAGAAGCCAGCCTCTTGTCTCTTGGGTGCCCTGAGAGTGCCCTCACTTAGCAAAGAACTTCCTATGGTCCTCACCTTCTAGATAGGAACCCTATTTGGAGAAGATGCAAGGAGTTAATGAGAATCCAGGAACTGTCCCCACCTGTGTGTGTTTATGGCCTAGATAGCTTCCAAATGTATCTCAGCTGCACCCCAAAATCATGTCCTTTCATCCTTTCTAGTGTAAAGATCCTAAGCCAGCTGGCGGCCTCTGAGTCTCAATGGCCATAGTAGGTCTCCTTTTGTGGGAATGGAAGTGACCAGCTTGATTTAAGTGCTGGCCTTCCCTGTGGATGTGGTCCGAGCAATGGTTTGCAAGATGTTCAACCTTTAAAGGAACCAGCAGACTCCTGCAGGAGACTCATATGCGTTCACTGAATTCTATCAACATTCTTAAGAAGTATTTGTGAATGCCATCATTTTATTGATGAGGAGACTGAGGCTCCTAGGAGAGAAATCACTTTCCCACAGTTCCACAGCTAATGAATAAGTGAGTCAGGACTTAAACTGGTTTTTCTGACTACACAGACAATATTTTTCACCACTGTGTCTCAGATTTCCCTGTGGGGTTACTCATAGCAGCAGAGACTGGAATGAAACAGATAATGCAATGGATAAAGTTCAAAGCAGATAACAATAAGCTTAAAATTCCTTCAGTCCCATGTTTTATTTCAACAACTCATGCAAAATTTGCATCCACTTTCTAATTCAGCCAAGTTAGATATGACTGTATAAATATTTCTTTTTTTTTTTTTAAGAAAAACCCAGCCGGGCTTGGTGGCTCAGCCTGTAACCCCGCGCCTTTGGGAGGCTGAGGTGAGTGGATTGCCTGAGCCCGCAGGTTCGAGACCCGCCTGGGCAGTGAGACCTCATCTCTACAATAAATCAAAAAATCAGACGGGCATGGTAGCGCATGCCTGTAATTCCGGCTATTTGGAACGCTGAGGCGGAAGGATCACCGGAGCCCAGCAGGTCGAGGCTGCGATGGCCGGGAGCGGCCACTGCACTCCAGTCTGGGCGACAGAGTGAGACTCCAACTCAAAAAAAAGAAAAAAAAGAAAAAACCCTGTTTCTCACTTTGACCCACTCAACCCACTATGATGGACCCTGGGGAATTATATCCCAGAGTGAGACACAGTGTCTGGCCAAGCTGCTTTCTCCTAAGGCCAATTCCATACTCAACCTCAAGACTAACTGACCTTCTCCGAGGCAGATCCTTTGATGTAGGAGTGCTCTGACTTCAGTGTTCATGGGTGAACCTCAACTAAGGTCTCTTCCAGTTGGGTGCTGGAAGGAACTCATTGACACAGACGAGAATGATGAGGACTTGCCCATCTGGCATGGCGAATGCTGAGCCCACAAAACTCCAAAGGGAAAGGAGAAGCTGGACACAGCCTTACTCAGAAGATTCCTGAGTGGTGGGGCTTCTTGAAGGTGGTGCCTATGGTATAGGTGGAGTCATATGGTTACAATTTGGGAAAATCTGAATATACATTTCACATGAGGGACTGGGATCTGAAAGGCTACTCATTTTATCTTACCCCTTCTATTTACTTACCAATATGCAGCACCATGGAGAAGGTACTACCAGAAAACACAGATGACTATGGCACAGTTCATATCTGCATGAGGCATGAAGTTGTAGTGGAAAGAGCTCAGTCTTGAGTTCAAATCCCAGCACTGCCATTTCTTGGCTATAGAATGTTGGGGCAATCAATTAATGGGAAAAAATACACATGAAAATAGAAGCTTCAACCATGTTCAAAGGGCTATATTTGGAGAGCTTTAGACCAAAAAACAGGAAGGCAAGGCCAGGAAATTGGAAACCAATGAATATTCAGAACCAAGGATGCAGATGAGTTATTGAGCAAAGTGATCACTTCGATGACACAACAGGATGAGGGATGGGGAAGGGATCACCAGAACCATTTGGAGCAAGGGTACTGCTCTAGAACAAATCTTGGTGTCTGGGGGAGACGGTAATAAGTTTCCCTCTGACCAGTCATGTGTATTCATCCCCCACTGTGACTCTAGCTCCTGCTATATGTCTCCCCTCACCCAAGATCTACTTTTCCTCAGCTCTGGCATGAAGCCCTGTAGAGTGCATAAAGGACTCAGTCTAACAAGATTGTTGCAGACAACAGAAGTGAGACCCAGGGAGAAGCAGCCAGGTCTTTATCCTTTGCAGAAATGTCTACCAAACCCAGATCCAGAGACACTGAAAGAAATTATCATTCCCCTGCACCTCACTACCCAGAGACAGAATGAAGAAAGTCACTCTTCCTTAGCCTGCAGCTGACTCCTAGGCTGGGTAGGCAGGCCATCAACACCAAGCTGAATCAAGTGTAATACTGTGGAAGTCATGGGTCAACCTAAGAATAAGCATGAGCAGGATGCTGATCCTAAGTCAAAAGGAAAAAAGATTGTGCTGGGCCAAGATCCCCAGGGACAAATGGTCAACCCAAGCTGAAGGACAGAGTAGAAGATAAAACATAAACATGGATGATTATGTCATCTCAAAGCCATGACTTGCCTCCCCCATTACCCAACAAGTCTGAGTCCTTCTCAGCCTCTCACTGGCTCCAAATCACAGTGAATTAGAAACAGGAAATAGGAAAAGTGAATCTAACCCAGAAGAGACCAGTTGAGATTCAGCCTTGTTTGTCTACTATATGCAAGCTCCCTGTTGGAGGTTTTCCATGTATACACCTCTAGAAGTAGTAAAATGCTTTTCATCACAGGGACCTGCCTTTGAGGTCACTGAAGAGCAGTGAGAGAGGTTAGTGGTAGAAAGTAGGAGGGCTGTTCCAGCTCCAGTTTCTTCTGACACATATTTCAGGGTCATGGATCTGTTCCTCAGAAACACAGCAGAGATGTCTAAGACACATTTGCATACATGAGCACTCTTTCTCAGTTTATTGGTAACCAGGGATAGACTTTTGCATGGTACTGGCTGTACAGTTGTCCTGTAGAGATCACACCACCTCCAAAAAAGATGGCAAAAGGTCATCAGAGGGGTCACATATACCCCTCTGAAATTCACCCATGAATGTTATGTCTCCAAAAGGTGAGATCAGCATACAAAATGGCAGCCCCCTGGCCTAGCATCCTGTCTGAGAGCTTGGTAGTGGTCTGTTGGGAAAGATACAAGGCATGTGGGAGGACTCAGGATAGAAGACAATCTATTGGGAAGTTTTAGGGGCTGGATTACCATTAGGGCTTCCTTCTGTATCTGAGAGCTGCTGTGGGTGATAAGATGTGGACCCTAAGCCTTGGTTGGAATGTTTAGAGAATGAGGGTCCAGTGACCTTGAAGTGTCAAAGAGGAAAGTATTGGTATGAAAGCCTGGAGCTTAATTCATGTAGTTCATGGTTCTCTGGACAATTGGATTTGGAGAAGGAAGGGTAATAGGAAATTACCCCACCAAAATTGCAAAACCGAGTCCCTGTCCTTTAGTGTCTTTGGGCTAGTGAATACAAATCTCTGGGCCTCTTGTGTGACGGTTCCCCAAACTCAGTGTCTACCCTGTCCCTGTTTCTCCCATGGAAGATTAATAATATATGGTGTCCTTTGGATCAAAGCCCCCAAGACAGTCTGAAGGCTTAGGGGACAGAGTGGTAAAATCAGTCTTCTGAAGAGTCAAGCAGAATCTATTGTCCATATCTTCCATAAGCAGATGATTGGGTAAAGTAAAGCACAGTTTTCCAGTCCCAGGTCTTGAAAAACTTGATAGCTGTAAGGAAGAACTTGCTGTCTGCCAGAGAGGATAAGCTACCTATTTCCACAGCTGTCCAGCAGAAGCTAGCTGTCTCTTTAAAGGAAAGGAGGAGCATTGCTGAGATGGCTTTTAGGTCACTTTCCTTCTAGATGGATGAGATCTTGAGAAGCTGGAATTATGTTTGAACTTATTCCTGTTCACAGAGCACAAAGCCAAGTACAGTGTCTTGTGTTCGGTATGTATAGGTTGATGCCCTCTGCTCTCCCACCCAAGTCTTCCCACCACACAGGCCAAGATGCTGCTCTGGCTACATCTTCTGGACTCAACCAGGCTGGCTATCACCAAATACCAAACTAGGGGTAACAGCTGCTTTACCATGGACCCAGTGTTCACTTGGATTTCTGGAGAGCAGCCATAGCTCAAACCCACTGGCCAACAGGGTCATCAGTGACTATCAGAACCAGGAAAGTTCCAAGAAGAACCCAGAGCAGGGCTTTGCATACCATATATATTATCTCCAGAGGTTAATTATATTTCCACTTTCCACTCAAAGCTTATTGGAGCAGATTGCAAAAGCAAAAGCACAGTAACTCTGCTGACATGTGATTATAATTATTTCCAGTGCTTATATCTCAGTATCAGTTGGATCCTGGGCTAGCCCACATTAATCCAGGTTAACTCATATTATTTAAAAGACTCATTTAGGGTGCACTTTTCACCCTACATCCTACTAGCCAAACAAAAACAAAGAGTCACGGCCTCTACCATTGCCTTGGCTACTAGACACCCTCAGAGCCCTCGAAGGGCTATCATGAGGTTTCCACTCAACTCCAGGGAGGCTTTTTCACATCCACTAGTCATATGATATTGTATGAGACC